AATTGTAAAGAGAAGCCCTTGACAGTTACATAACTCCTTGTCAATCTGTGGCAGTTAAGCAGTCTCTGGGATGGGTCAGATTGTGTACAGACCTATAGAGGGTAGACCTGGAATGGACTACTCATACAATTATGTTCTCCTCAGATTAAAACAAAAAACAAAAAACATGACAATTGCCATTAGCCAGGAGGACTGTAAAAAGGAAATTACAGACACATTGAAACGACAATAAGAAATATTGATAAAGAAAATATAAGCCAGGTGGTGGTGGCTCATGACTTTAATCCCATTTGAGCATTTGGGAGGCAGAGGCAGAAGCAGAGGCAGGTGGATCTCTGTGAGTTCAAGGCCAGCCTGGTCTGCAGAATGAGTTCCAGGATAGTTAGGGCTACACAGAGAAACCCTGTCTTGAAAAGCAAACAAACGAACAAACAAACAAAACAACAAAAAACCAACCCAAACCAAAACTCTGAAAACCAAACAAACAACAATAACAATAACAACAAAAATCCCCCAAACCACCAAGACAAAAACAACCAACTCTAAAGAATATACTCTTGAATTGCTGGGTTATCATTTGGAGGCAAAATCTGAAAATGTTGGGGAAACAGAATCTCATTGTTCTCATTGGAAATTAGTCTTTCAAGGAAAAAAAATAATTCTTATTGGCTAGAGAGATGTCTTAGCAGTTAAAAGTATTTGCCACCCAACCATGAGTCCCAAAGGTGCCCCCCCCCACTGCCAGAGACACAATTCCTGTAACTCCAACTCAGAATCCAAAACCACCCTCCTTCACCAGAGGGAGATGGGGATAGTATACAGTGTAACTCTATGCTATTAAACTATGCCTTTTCCTCTTAGAAATTATTGGTGTGTCTTTATGTGCATGCCTGTAAATCCCAGCGCTCTGGAGGCTAAGGCAGAGGACCGGTACTTGGCCTTGGTAACATGATGGGACCCTGTCTGAGTTTCTTTTCTACAGTTGTGAAGAGACACCATTACCAAGGCAACTTAAAAAGGAAGCATTTAATTGGGGGCTTGCTTACAGTTCTGAGGGTGAGTCTGTGACCATCGTGGTTGGGGATATGGCTGTAGGCAGGTACTGGAGCAGTAGCTCACAACGTCTATCTTATCTGCAAGTGGGAGGCAGAGAATGGGCCTGGGGTGGGCTTTGGAAGCCTTAAAGCCCACTCTCCATGATACCTCCTCCAAAAAGGCCATAGCTCTTGATCCTTTCCAAAACAGTTCTACCAACCGAAATATGTGAGTCTATGGGGCCATTCTCACTCAAACCGACACAGATCCCTTCTATACACATACTGAGGTTAATTGAGACATAGTGAGTTTTTAAGTTGCTGGACTTCATCATAACATTTTCATACATGTATACAGTTTATTTAAGTCACATTCATATTCCTCTTTACCCTCTTGTCTTTGTTTATTCCCACTGGTTCCCTTCCTCTTAAATAGAATGCCTTCTATTGTCATCTTAAAAAACAAAACAAATCAAAACAACCCCCTCCCCATATTCTAGAAAGGGACAGAGCTGGTCTACAAATTGAGTTCTCGGCCAGCCAGGGTCACAGAGTGACACCCTATTTCAAAACAAACAAAAATCTAGAGAAAATTAGAAAAAATGTGGTATTTGTCTGGGTTAGACTTATTTTGCTTAACAGGATCTCTAATCCTACCCATTTTCCTGCAAATGACTAATTTCATCTGTTTAAGGTGGATGGAATATCATATTTTCTTTGTTCACAGACACCTAGGCTGGTCTGTATCTTGGATACTGTAAATAGCGCAACAGTAAGGATGGGTGTGATATATCTCTGTGGTAAGCTGTTTCTAATTCCTTTTGCTATATATCCAGGAGTGGTACAGCAGGACCATATGGTGATATTATTTTTAGTTGCCTTTTTCAAAAAGGAATCCCCAAACTGATTTCCATAGTGGATGAACTAACTGACATCCTACCAGCAGCATATAAAGGATTCTTTCCTCTATATGCTCACCAGCATTTATTTTCTTGGTGACAGCCATTCTGAAAGGAGAGGGAAGGATTCTCAATGCAGTTTTGATTTTCATTTCAGTAGGTTTTTGAGTGTATTTATTGGTCATTTGTGTTTCTTCTTTTTAAAAATTTATTTCTTTTGAGAAATGTCTGTTCAATAAATTTACCACTAATTGGATTATTTGCTCTATTAGTGCTAAAATCATGTTTTTATTCTGTATTTGCAAACATATACAGTTATTTATATGTTAGCTGGTGAGTGGACATTTTAAGTTATTCCCTGTTAGATTACCTGAAAGCCAGTTTTGTTTTGGTATTTTCATAAATAATGACATCATCTGATACCAGTATTTGTTTTTGTCCAACTATTGGTAAAACATAAGCAATGGGCCAAAGGTGGAAATCATTAGGTGTGTGACAAGTATTTGGCTTCAACCAGACAATGTGTGAACAACAATCAAGAAAAGAAGGATTAAGTACAAAGTTTTGGAAAGACACTGCTGAAAGTCTTAGCAAAGGACCTGAAAAAATATACATTTGATGTTCTAAAATCTCTCAAGTCCACACCACACACTGAACTTCATTAAATATATGTTCAACTGTCAATTACTTGATTTCACTATATACCTTAAGAAGCTCAGTGGGTACCATACACTGTGAATATTCTAAAGATTAAGCAATTCTTAGTGACTATGTTCAACACAGACTGAGAAATAGAAGGGTCCTCAGAGTTCATTTGCCTCAAAGTGAATTCTACTGATGAAATAATTGCAAACCACCAGATGATTTTGCTGGCTTAAGACTCCTCAGATAGACTGGTGCTTAAACTGGAACATGGACCTTCTTACCCAGTACTCTTTCCATCATGGTTGTTGTGATATCTTGCCACCCTTCAAGATTAGAGTTTCTTGAAAATCATGAGAGGAATGATTCCTGGTGGTGTTGGAACTGCTAGTGCCCCAAGCTCCCTGGACTGTGGGTGTGGGTAGCCTTACTCCACAAAAATACCACCACTATGTTAATACCAGCCAGCAGACGTTTTTAAAATGATATCTATGGGATAGTGACTTGGCTCAGTAGGTAAAGGCTTTTGCTGTCAAGTCTGACAACCTTGAATCTGATCCCTGGGATCCACATGGTGGGAGAATGGACTCTGGAAAGTTGTTTTCTGTCCTGACACCTGGACTACGGCATGAACACCCTGTCCCCACAAATAAATGTAATAATTTAAAAATGTTCTTTGCCTTTAGTCATCTAAGTATAAAGTTAAGTATCACTGTTTTGTAAAGGTGATGTCTAGGAGGCTTATTATCCTTTACACAGCTTCCTATTTCAAATTATATTTGAAATAATACATTTGCTTCTTATTATGGGTCTTTTCCAATAGATTATAAATTCCACTAAGTGCCACTTCTGTTTCATTCCCAGCTGTTTAGCGCCCAGCACAGTACTGGCATACAGAAGAAGCCCCAACAGTATTCTTTTAATCCACAATGGACTTCCCTCTCTAATTACAGCTATAGCAAGTCTTCTGAAAGTCCCAACTGTCCCTCTTAAACTTTCCTAAACTTAGTATGCAAACCAAGGGCTTAAAGTCCCAGGGAAGGAGACTGGAGCTGGGATTTTAGCTTAGCAGTCATTCTGAATAGAGAGATTCAGCCAGGGAATGAGCATCCTTTCAAGAAAAAGCAGATGGCCAAGTTGCTCCCTGAATTAAGCAGGTCAGTCCTGTCAACTGCTTAGGTATCTTTTAACAATGAGGGTCTGAAGTTCACTCTTTCCAGCTGTTGTTTTGAATTAGGTTACAAAAAGGAACATAAACAAATTGGTTAAGGACTAACCTAAGAGACAACAAGGCATTATGGTGAGCCTTTGAGGTCAAGGCTAGTCTGCTCTACTTAGTAAATTCCAGGACAGCCAGGGTTACACAGACAGACCTTGTCAACCCCCAACCTCCAAAAGATAATAAACCTAAGAGGGGTTGGAGAGATGACTCAGAGGTTAAGAGCACTGGCTGTTTTTCTATAGGATACAAGTTCTATTCCCAGAACCCACATGGCAGCTTACAATCTCTAACTCCAAATTCCAGGTGATCTGATGTCCATTTTTAGCCTGTCAGCACCAGGCACGCAACTGGTGCACATACATACACGTGGACAAAACAACCATATACCTACAATTAAATTTAAAAAGCAGCCTGAGAGCTCTCTAATGAAACTTTAAAAATAATTATTTTAGGTAATGCATAACCTTTTGTAATTATTTGATACAAAAAAATTCTACTGCATATACAACCAATAATACACCCAAGTAAATGAAGCCCAGTGAAGAATAAAACACTAAAAGAAGTCATTTTTAGAAGTGTGAGGCACTCCTACCCCACCCTTGTGCTGTGGATCAAACCCAGAGCCCAAAACATGCTAGGCAAGTGCTCTGACCCTGAGCTGTACTTTCAGTCCAAGCAAACTTTTAACACACACATAAATACAAGTATTCTCAATTATTGTAATAGCTCTGAAGAAAATTATGCTTCATTTAACACAAGTAAGTAGCTTTGTCCAAAGTATTGGAGCTGTCAGATCTCAAGCTACCAAATGGGCAACTGTCTTTCTACTCAGTCACACCACATTGGAGAATTATCCATTGCACAGGTTTGGCCATATATTCATCCCCATCTTGGATTAAAGGATACCTTTCTTCCAAATTTCACTGGGAAAGGAACAAGAGGAACTTAAAAATAACTTCAAATGTATCAATGAAAAAAAAAACCCTCATTTTATTGACTATTATAGTATTTATAAATATTTAACATAAATGAACTAGAATGGTGACTGAAGAATTTAAATGATTAATGATATGTCCTTAACTTTTATAACTAAAGATCAACAGTTATTAAATATGATTTCACCACCTAATGAAGAATGTTTCAATTCAGAATAGCAACTTCATTAATCAATCCAGACCCTGAAAAGGAATATAAAGCACTGAGAACAAGATGATTTGAATTTATTGTGGCTTAAATTGCAAAAGAGAAAGAAAAGAGCCAACATCATCTTATTTTTGGCCACTAGTTGTTTTAAAAAAAAAATACAAAGGGAAGTGAGCTACTGAGAAAAGACAGAGCAAGGTGAAACATTACCACTCTGCCTTAAGAGTCTGGAAGGAACTTTCAGACTTTGCACTTCAATATATTTCTCTCTTCTTTTTTGAGCTATTCTCCAGGCTCAAGTTAACCCTTCTGTGCCAGCTTCTCCAGTAGCTGGTCAACAGTTCCAGCTACTTCTTCTCACCTCCCTCCCCCTTAATTGAGGTAAGAGACTTGAAAGTCCACTTGCTCTGAATAGTTCTTCTTGGGGGAGTTGTCTATCCATGAAAAGCCTTTGACTTTTTAAGAAAACCAAGACCATTACTATTTTTCACATATTATCCCTCACAGCATGAGGACTGTGCACTGAGAGCCACATTTCTAAAACACAAACACCCAGTCTTCTTTATGTATTCATGTGCAGAGTCCTTGCCATAGAGTTCTTTTATTCAAACAATCTTTCAGCTACAGAAGACACGAATGAGTAAATCTTGGAAAAGGGATAACATCTTTGATGTTGTCAACTCCTAGGATGCATTGTAAGTAGCGTTCAAATCCCATCCCAAAGCCTCCGTGTGGCACTGATCCAAACTGACGAAGGTCCAGGTACCTGTTTTAAAAAAGAGAATCACTACTTATAAACTCTGTAAGTATTTATAAACTCTTATAAACTCTGTATGAGGCCAAATATTATGATAGAAATTTTTGTATTTACAGTCATTTGTTGTTTATGTCACTGTGGTAGAGCACACCCAACTTTTCATTCCACAGAGACCATGAAAAGGGAGAAGTCAGAGAGACCCAGCTATCCAAGGATACCCAAACAAGCAGCAGTGGATTCTGTTGTGCAGTTGTGGGCTCTGATCACTTAACCTTTTTCCATTTCAAGTTATTTATGCAGCATTCATATACAGAAAACTTGTCTCATGACACTTTTTTTAATACTAGCTTTCTTTTTTCTTTTCACATCCCAACTTAATGATATGTTTTTACTATCTTATTTTATACTAGTCCCCTCCACCCCCAATTCTGAGACAGGGTTTCTCCGTGTATCCTTGGCTATCTTGGAACTTGTTCTGTAGACTGGGCTGGCCTAGAACTCACAGAGCTCTGCCTGTCTCTGCCTCCCAAGTACAGAAAACACACTTCCTATTTTTTTGTATACTAATGGAGGCATTTTCCTCCTTACTAGTCTATTTAATACACAGAGGAAAGTGAAGACTTTGTTGTTGTTGCTGTTTGTGTATCTATGTACATGTGCGTATGTGGGTATATATGGTGGCCACTTACCATGCTTGTTCTACTCCCACTTAAGACTATGACTGAAACTCTGGAACTCAGATTCCAACAAAATAGCATGGAATAAAGTTATTTTAGGAGGAAAGAGAGAGGACTGCTCTGCAAATATTCTTATTATACCATTTGACTGGGAATTTCTTTTAGCTTACATTTTTTATTGTGTGTGTGTGTGTGTGTGTGTGTGTGTGTGTGTGTGTGTGTGTGTGGCACTTGTGCAGAGGTCAGAGGACAACTTTTAAAAGTAATACCTCTCCTTCTATCATAGTGGCCTAGGGATCACACTAAAGTTGTCAGACTTGGTGGCAAGTACTTTTATCCCCTGAGACATCTCTTATTGCTCCTAACTTGAAAATTCTCAACTCATATATAAACTAAAACAAATTCATAATTCCTCAAACAGTTTGACTCTGAAGTCCCACAGCTGGAGCCATTTGGATCTTCAGGCTAGTGTTGACACACTGCCATTGTAGGGTAAAGATAATAAGAAGCAACTGGATGAGCTGCTGTATCTGAGTGAGATCAATATAATAGGGGTTTTATTAGAAAACCTTGGAGTAGTGAGAACTATAAGGAATAAATGGAGTAAACGTGTAGTTTTGAAGGCTGAATTTAGTTTACAAGGCATGGACACAAGTATACTCTGACTCATTGACAACCTGAGATGAAGGGATAGCAAACCAGTTGTTATGAATACCTGCAAGACCAAAGTTGGCTATAGAGGCTCAGTAATGGGCTTCATGCATACATATTTCTTTTGTGCATAAATGTTGTAAGCTGAATTAGCAGGATTTGGCTTATTTACTAGGTTTTGCCTGACTTAAAAAATAATTTATTTAACTTTATGTGTATTGGTGTGAAGGAATCAGATTCCCTGGAACTGGAGCTACAAACAGCTGTGAGATGCCATGTGGGTGCTGGGGATTGAACCTGGGTCCTCTTGAAAGAACAATCACTGCTCTCAACTGCTGAGCCAGCTCTCCAACCTGACTTTGTTTTGATATAGAAGACAAAAATCTACTTTTTTTTTTTTTTTTTTTTTTTTTTGGTAGCTTTGGAGCCTGTCCTGGAAGTCACTCTGTTCACTCACTCAGTGAGTTCAGGCTAGCCATGAACTCACTGAGATCTGCCTGTCTCTGTCTCACAAGTGCTGGGATTAAAGGTGAGTGCCACCACAGTCTGGCTGGAAAATCTACTTTTAACAAAAATAGAGGGTGTGTGTGTGTGTGTGTGTGTGTGTGTGTGTGTGTGTGTGACACAGGGTATCACTATGTAATCCCAGCTGGCCTGGAACTTACTCTGTAGACCAGACTGGCCTCAAACTCCTGCCTCCCAGGTTCTGGGATCACAGTTTACTATCAGGCTGTGTTTCAGATCTGTATTTTGATTCTAGCACAAGCCGGTAAAGAAAAGAGGCCAGAAAATATTTGGAGCTGGTTTTATTTGCATGTGACAGCAGAAATAGGAAGTGAATACACTCTCAGACACCTGGCTTCTCAAAGTTCAGAGGAACCTTGATAGAGATCATGGGTGTAAAACTTAAGTCTTAAGTTCTTTCTTCTTTAACATGCTATGCCTACCACATAAGAGGAAGGGGATTTAAGTCATTAATATTTATATCTAAAGATCCTACGTGTGTGAAACTTTTAGTTAGAAGAATAGTCTAGGAGCTGGAGAGATGACTTGGCTGGTATAGTAGCATGTAGATAAGCCTACTGTCCTGAGTTCTATCGTGACATCACAAGATAGAGAGAGAACTAATTCCCAAGGGCTGTCCTCTGACCTCCACATACTTGTGGTGGCATGTGAGTTCTCTTCTTCCTCCAAAAAAGCAATATTAAAAAAAGAAAAAATATAGACATGATTTAATAAATATCATACTTATTTAACCAATATATAAGGTTTGCTGTTATTTAAGCAAGTTTTAAACACTGTGAATATTAGCTGATAGAATCTGAGGGGAAAACAGCATAATTGGCCCAGCAGATTTACCTACTAAATAGCAAAACTTAGAAGAAAAGGAGAAAAAGGGTGTAGAAACTAATATTTACTGAACTGCTTCTACTCAATGTAAATACAATGTCTTTACTTTTTCATTTTATACCACAACTGTGAAACAGATATCATTTCATTTTATAATTATAAAAAACAAGAAACTAAGAGAGATCAAGATGCTTAAGGAAATTGCTGGTAACTATCAGGCAGTCAAAAGCCATTAGCTGAACTTCGAAACTCTAAAACCTATCTCCTTTGTTATCAAAAGGCAAGATTATGATTTGCCATGTCCTTCTAAGAACAACAAAAGGGTTAATGATATTGCTGATAGTATTATATTATCAAGATCCTAAAGCAGCACTATTGTAGGCATATAAATAATCTGTCTACATTTGCAAGTCCTAGACGAGTCTGCGGAAAGAAAACCAGAACAATTTTGTGAAAGTGAATGTGACTTTGGACAGGTGGTTGTTCTGAACCAGCAAAGGGCTCACAGCTCTTGGCTATCTGAGGCATCACTTATCAAAGCTCCCTATGTCAAACATAGGGGCAATGAAGTATAATGGGTTAAGAGCAAAGGCTTTTGCCTGGCCTATATAGCAAGACCTTACTTCAATAAATGAACAAAAGTACAAAGATAGATTTTGGTGTATGGAGGAGTTCTCAGCTTCATCCTAACTATGTCTTGGTTAAGTTAGTTCACATCTGGCCTCATGTTTAGAGGGGAAATAAAGCGATAACAACAATATCTGCCACTCCAAGTGTTGGGATGATTGCGGGAAATACAGATTTAAGAATGTGAACATTGTTTTCTGATATATATAAGAAGCAGTAACTAGGGGCTGGAGAGACGGCTGAGTGGTTAAGAGTACTGGCTGCTCTCCCAGTGGACCTGGGTTCAATTCCCAGCACCCACATGGCAGGTCACAACTGTCTGTAACTCCAGTCCTAGGGGATCTAACATGTTCACACCAATGCACATAAAATAAAGTAAAAAAAAAAAAAAAAAAAAAAAAAAAAAGAAGCAGTAACTAAATGGCAAACATTAGTTTTACTGTTTTCCACAGACTGAAAGGGAGTAAAGAGGTGTTAGCATCTGCTCACAGGGGCACCGGAAGAGAAACAACAGTCCTTTCCACATGATACACAGAATGCACCCAGAATAGGGGCCACTTTCTTACCATTGGTAGGCTTTCCCAAGTCCTGATCTGTAAAAAGAAAATAAGGGGAAAATAATAAGCAAAATACTTATTAATCAACCACCAAACATTTATTCTAGGTTGTTTGTGTACACAGGGACCTTTGTAAGGAAGCACACACAGAGAAGCTGGTGTCCTCCAATCATACACCATAAGCATAAGGAGGTGAAGTTTTCTATTAGAGAGCAGACTTTCTATTAATAATAAGGCAATCAATATTAACAGTAAACAATGAGGTATTATAAAATAAGAGGCATAGGCAATAATGCCATAGAATGAACACAGGACCTGAAGGGATTGGTCTGACAGGAGCTTACTATCTGTCAAAGAAAAGCAGAATCTCTGCTTAGTCAAAATGCCTGGGAACACACACACAGACAATGCACACTTGGATACAACTTTTATTTCACAGAATTTAAAATAACAGTGTAATTCTGTGGTTGCTTTCATAATATAACTGCAATTTAGTTCTTATGAGAAATGTAACATTTTAGTTACAATAACCCCAGCCCTTTAAAAGGTATTTGTAACTGTATCTGAAATGACAAGAACCATCAAAGTTCTACTTTTCCAAAGTGCAGAAAGCAGAGCTATGGCTACAGATGAATACAAGAGACAGAGGAACGCACATCTACTTCACAGGGAAAGAGAAATATGGATAGTGTCTGATATTAGGTAAGGTTTCCCAAAGGAAGCAGGGCCTGAAGGAAATGGACTGATTAATCAATCAACAGATGTGGTTTCTTGCCATGTGTGATTTTTATTGTGCTTTAAAAATCTGTAGAGAAACTTCAAATTCTTCCATCTAAAGATTCTGACTTTCATTTCAATTCGACAACTTTCCCAGGATTGTTTAACAGTGAGTGGCAGCAAGGAGGTGGCAGTCTAGTCAATAAAGGGAGTCTTCCATAGATTTTACTCCCCTTCTTTTGGAGTTTAATCTAATGGAGCAGTTAAGAAGAATGGAACTGTAACACCAGGTTACTCAGGAGATTTACAGACTGGGATCTTGGGAAAATATCGATTCTCAAGGCATGTCTCCGTCAGGAAAAGGCAGCCTTAAAAATGGTTAACAGGATGCTTTCAAAATGTTTTCTCCAAGTGTGACAAAACCCAGTACTATTGGAGAGAAGGATTAATATAGACAAGGAGAAAAAAATTAATGTTTGATACAGCAAAAATGGAAATCACAGAAAGCAAGGACTTATAACCATGGTCAGTTTAGGAAGTTTTGTAATTTTCTAGCATGTGGGAGTGACAGTTCAATTAGAAAAAGGGTCCCTTACTTTCTATCTCCAAAATATTTCTTTAAGTAACCCATGGATTCATTTTATAGATCTCAAAAGTATAGCTAAATGGGGACTCATGCATAATAGAGAATTCAAGGAAAAGGGAATCTACCTATAAATGCTAACTTAGCATTTTTCTGTCTTCTTTATAACCCAGTAAGATCATGACTTTCATAAACCACAGTACATACAAAGTACACAAGAAAGAGAAAATTGAAGGAGAAGTTTTGAAGAGCTTGGGAATTTCTCTTGCTTTTAAAAATTTTAAGACAGGGTCATAAATTTTATGTAATTGTGTCTGACCTGGAACATATTATGGAGGCCAGGTTGGCCTAGAAACTCAAGAATAATCCTTCTGCTTTTGCCCCTGAGTGCTGGCTCTCTAGGCATTTGCCAACATGGTTGCTTGTTTTGTCTTTTTTCCTCCCTCTTGCCTCGGCCTCTCCCTGAGATTATAAGCATGTACTCCTATGCCTGCCAACAGATCCAGTCTTCAAGAAAGAGATGCTTATAGATGTGAGGGAAACACTTCCCAGGATCACATGGAGTCTGAGCGCCAGGCCTGTCAGATATGAGGAGTTTTTGCTCACTGTGTTTTTGTTACTGCCTTTGAGGACCGCTCAAGTGTGTTTCTTTTAGGTCTGACCAATACCTGGCTAGTCGCTGTTCTAGGATGTGGTACCGTTCCTCTCTGAGGCTTCCTCCAAAGAGCTCCCCGACTCCAGGGACCAGAAGATCAACAGCAGCGACCTAAAGAAGGAACCAACCATGAACAGCAAGCACTATTCTGTCTTGTGACTCCAACCACATTTGGAATTTCAAGCAATTGGAACATTTTCTTGAAACAATTTTAAAATTGGCTGTTTGACTACCTATTAGAATCTTATTTTGGGGATATGTTTTAAACCAGCTAGAACGTAAGTTCTTAACCTGTATGTCGTAATCTCCACAGGGGTCATATATCATATCCTGCACATCACATATTTATATTATGACTCAGAAGCAAAATTACAGTTATAAAATAGCAACAAAATAATCTTATGATGGGGTCATTACGACATGAGGAACTGTATTAAAGGGTAGCAGCATTTAGGAAAGCTGAGAACCACTGAGCTAGAGCATATTGTCAGAAGCTACAAGTTTTGAAAATTCCCTTTGGAAAATATCTGTATCTTAATTATGTGGCTAAAAGCATATTTACTTATTCTTGTTTATAAGCTTCATTGTGACTACTCTGAACAACAAATGAATGGGACAGGAACCCTCAGTGCTTCTCTACATTAGTCCTTTTTCTTAGAAATTTATTAAATCACTGGCAAAATTCAGCCCATGACCTTGAGTTTTTGAACGTCCTCTGTATTAACAATCATTTCTACTTTAAAGGGAAAAAAGGTTCTAGAGAACAGAATACAGGACCAGAATATTCAGCGCTGTTGTAAATCTGGTGATTCCAGGGAGTAATAAGGTAACAGAAATTAGAACTAAACATCTTATTAAAGATTTGCCAGTTGCAGAGAAAAATGTCTTAAATCAAAGATGACCAAGTCTGAGCCTTTTTAGTATGAATCTCCTCTGTGCTTCTCTGCAGCCTTGACATTTGAATAGTGGAAGAGCTTCAGTTCTGCCCTTTCATGCTCCAGCTAAAGGGATACCAGAAGTCACAGCCAACACATTCTTTTACACATCTCCCTAACTCTCATAGCTTAAACAAAACCTGTTTGACTCTGTACATCTTCTAGGCCCAGAATGCTTCCTGGCCGTCTTCCTCCCCTGGGTATGTATGAGTTTTGATTCTGCTTGAGTTATACAGCTGCACCAGCAAGCTGTCTAGAAATAGTTGGTGTTGGTATTCAAGCTGAGCAAACCCTGGTTTCTATTTATGATGTTCCCTTCTGACTCTGACTCTGTGATTCCAATCAATGTAACCAAAATAAAACTCAGATTTTCAATTAAAAAAAATAGGCTAAATGGGAACAAACCTTTCTTCTGCTACCTGACCTTCTGCCCCTGGAAAGAAGGTAGAGTGAGGAAATATCCTCTGATGCCAGTCAGGGGATGCAGATGGCCAATGGATAGCAACACTGAAATTTACTTGTATTCTTATAAATACTGAGTCAATCTCATTACTTGTGTTGGCTAAACAGACAAAGTTTTATAGCTTACAAACATACTAATGGTTTCAAAGGAATGGAAGTCTCACCTTGTCTCAAAATATGTTTCCATTCCCTCAGGGTCAAGGTAATTAGTACACTTCTCTTTTCCTTAAGGAGTTCTAAATTCCAAGCTAGCCAGCAGAAATCAGCTGGGAGCCACATAAACATGCAAGTTATCTGAGTTCTTTCTTTTGGAGAAAGGAAAACATTTCTGTAAATACCACCTTTAGAATTAAAAGTCACACTTGTGGGAATCACCTGTGACTCATTCTTAGTCCTCTATCTTCCAGTTCAGTTCACAGACCACAGACCATCAATAGTTCTTTGGAACAGTGTATGTGTGTGCGTGCACGTGCGTGTATCCACGTGCATATGTGGAGATCAGAGAATAACTAGCAGGAGTTTGTTTTTCCTTTTACTCAGGCTGTCAGGCTTAGGGCAAGTACCTTTATCCATGGAGCCATCTTGGTGGTACCTCCAATATTTTTGCAGAGTTTAGTTTGCAGAGATAACTAAACAATTTTATAAATGTTAGTACCAACTTCCACAAACCATTTGCAGTGACAAAAGAACAGCATCCTTCAAGTGAGCTTATTCTTAAAATATAACATGTATAAAAGTATACAAATAGTGTATAGCTCTATTAATTTTCACAAAATGAGCACACTGTGTATCACTAAACCAGAACAAGAAAGAGAACAGGATTAACACCCCAAAAAGTCTTTCTTGTGCCCTCTTTTGGTTATCACCCCTATAAAGAATTGTTTTTCTTGACTATGGTCATAGAGGGTGAAACTGCTATTTTTGAACTCCTTATAATCAGCACCACACAGCACAGAGTTCTGGGGGTTGGCTCCTTTCACTGCTAGCTGTCTTTGTGGGACTTATCATGCTGACATTGCCTTCTTCACTGTATCTACTAGTCTGATGCTCAAGCTATCATGATGGAGTTCATCAGTCTCAGCCAAAAAAGATTCATCAACTACCTCTTGATTAATTTTATTCTCATTGTTATACCCCATTATATAATGTTCAGTAGAGCTATGAGAGTTGAGCATGACTTGTGTCTCCCAAGGGTCTGAATGAAAATCTGATCCACAGATGCTACTGTAAGGAGATGGATACCCAGTAGTGAGTCACTAGAAACATAAGGCACTTCTCTGGTGACTCCTGTGATAGTTCTGAGATTGCGGAGAGGAATGTGGAGGAACAGTAGTGGGCCAGGTCCTGAAGTTTCGAGGGAACAAGGACTCAATCAGGAACTGGGCTAGAGGGTATTTGTGCTATATTCTGGCAAAGAATATGACTACATTCTGCCCATGTCCTGTGAATCTGAGTAAAGCTGAATTTCAAAGTAACGGACTAGTTTCTTTGGTGGAAGACATTTCAAGACAGCACAGCTATCAGACTGTGGTATGACTACTGATCACTGGTCTTACTCAAATCTACAGTGAGAAAGAGCACAACAAGGAATATAAACATGAAAAATGTGAAGTTTGGAGAGGAAAGGTGAATGAGTAAGTTTAAAGGTGTGGGCAGAGGCAATAAGCCTCCAAAGCCTCTGCAACTGTTAAAGAGAAGACCCCACTAATGGGAGATGCCATTATGGATATATGTTTCTCATACTGGTTAATGAATAAAGCACTGTAGGTCAATAGGAAAGCAAGATAGGTGGGACTAGGAGACAAGGAGGATTGGTGGAAGTAGTAAGGAGAAGTCAAGATGGAGAGTCTGGAGAAAGCAGAACCTCCAGCCGCCTCTCCCTGGTAAGACCACGTGGAAATACATAGAAATGGGTTAATAACTAAGACAGAGCTAGCCGATAAGAAACTAATACCTGGCCAACAGCATTATATCTAATAGAGTCGTGGTGTGTTAATTGGGGCTGGCGCAGCGGCGGGACAAGACCAGGCTGCGGGCAGAAAAACCTAACTCCCTACACCCCACTCTGCTCCCTCCCCAGGGAAGCAACATGTCCAGCTGCCTCCCACTCTTGCTGCTACACCTTCCTCACCATGATGCAATGTGCTCTATCAAATTATAAGCCAAAATAAACCCTTTCTTCTTTAAGTTGCCTTTTGTCAAGCATTTTGTCACAGCAATGAGGAAAGTAACTAATATACCTTTTAGTCCTGCAAAATGGGTTTAGTTATTTAAATAATTTCTTTATTCTGAACTACTTCTCTTGTTTTTTTTTTTTTTTTTTGTTTGTTTTTTTGTTTTTTAGTAACAGGGCAGCTTCCTTTATGATCCTACTTCACCTCAAGTCTTAGAAGGCATCAGTATTCTCTTTTATATCTATTGCTTTAACTTAACTCATTATTTCTAAGGAAATGGAGAGAAATGGAACAGCAATAGAAATTTAGAAATCTATCACACACGTTAAAATAATCTCACTCTATATATATTCCTTGTCCCTACAATTCAAAAGACACATTTCATTATAAAGAACCTGACAGCAATCTGAGACAGGCTGCAGTGCATACTTTATTTGATACAAATTGCTAGAACAATCATTAGCCTCCACTAAATAAACTTAGCAATCACTTCACTATTTCTGCTGGTTCAAGGATCAAGTTATTTTGATATAGGCCAGTTCATTAGGCCAGGAAATTCACTAGATATCTTTTTGGTTGCCTGTCCAAGTGATTTCACAGTACATAGTTTACTGACGTTCACTGATGCTTAACTTTTTTTGATGTAAAATTTTGAGAATCCTCGTGGATTCTCAACTGCTGGGTAGTTACTTTTTCCTATCAAATTTGGAAGGTATAAATGAATATTCTCTAAGAAGCCACTCAAATAGCTGAGTATTTTCTACTTGCATTTAGGGTTTTTGATCAATAACCCAAACCCAAGAGCACATGATATTTTCCATGTTTCCTTAGATTCACTGTAACAGTCCTTCAAATGACAAAATTATGCTTTGTAAGTTATATGTTATTTTTCCATTTGCCAGTAAAGAAAAACAGGTGGCATGAAGTCAGAGACTCTTAAGAGATGCACATTGGAGGTATTCTACCCTGACTCTCTGGCCTGCAGAGCCTTGCATAAGGTCACAGAGATATGTTGTAAGAGTACTAGATTTCAAACCTACAGCTCTCAATCCAGTGTACTTTTCATTATGTCAGGCTGCATATCATCATTTTCTTGGAGTGGGTAGCAAAAAAAGAGAAAGAAAACCATTACCGTAGAAACGCTATTTTTAAATTTATTACTCTAGGCCCAAAGTTTTAAATATAGATTAAATATTTCTCTATTTTTATCTTTCACTTGCTTAGAGAAAATACCAATGAAGCACCTCTATTTTATTTTTTTTTTTGTGGGGGGTGGAGTAGGGTGGGGTGAGAATAGTGAGATAAAGTTTCATTTGTAGATTAGGATGGTTTGTAACTCACTATGTGGTCTAGGCTAACTTCCAACTCAGGGCAACCCTCCTACTACTGCCTTCCAACTGCATGAGCGGGCCACTGTGCCTGTCTTTACATTGCTTTACTTGTTAAGATTCACTGAATCTTGTTCTAGCTTGCTTTCTGTTGCTGTGATAAATACTATGATGAAAAAGAACTTGGAGAGGAAAGGGTTTATTTTATCTCATGTTTCCAGGTCATAGTACATAATTGAGGGGAAATCATGGTAAGAACTCAAGCAGGAACAATGGCAGGGACCATGAAGGAAACTGCTTACTGGCTTGCCCTCTAGCCTCTGTTCAGCTGGCTTTCTTCTTTTTCTTTTTTTCTTTTGTTTTTCCTCTTTGAGATACAGTTTCACTATGTAGCCTTGTTCAGCTTGGAATTTGCTATGTAGACCAGGCTGGCCTTGAACTCACAGAGATCTGCTTCCCTTTGCCTCCAATTTTAGCTTTCCTTTTAAATTTCTTATTTATTTTTATGTGTATGGGCATTTTGCCTGCATGTGTTTCTATGTAGTACCATGTGTGTGCCTGGTACCTGTGGAGAACAGAAAAGACCAACGGATTCCCTGGGACTGGAGTTACAGACAGTTGTGAGTTGCCATGTGGGTGCTGGGAATTGAACATGGGTCTTCTAAATGAGAAGCTAGTGCTCTTAACCACCAAGTCATCTCTCTAGCCCAGTGAGCTTTCTTAAACTGCCTAGGTTCTCTTACTTAGAGATGGTACTATACAGTGGACTGGGCTTGCCTCTATCAATTACCAGTCAAGACGTGCCCATGGACATGCCAAAAGGCCAATTTGATGGAAGCAATCCCCCGAGAAACTTACCCCAGTTAACTGTGGGCTGTCAAGTTGCAGCTAAACTCCTGCAAACCTAGCCTAAACCAGTAACTGGAGTCCCACTGAAAGAAATACAGTATTTATTCATGTAATTTATGCCCCAAGGTTTGTTCATTTACTGAAGGTTTTTTTTTTTTTTTTGAGTAGAAATAGGCACTTTTTATAGGCTTGGGGGGGGGGGAACCTAGGAACTATCTATGACTACTATAAATACCTTTCCTTTTTCCTTCCCCTGGTTTTTTGAGACAGGGTTTCGCTGTGTAGCTCTCTGGCTGTCCTGGAACTCACTATGTAGACCAGGCTGGCCGCAGACTCATAGAGATCTGCCTGCTTCTGCCTCTCAAGTACTGGGATTAAAGTTATGCACTACCACCACATGACTAATGTAAATACCTTTTATTTATTTTTTGTGAATTGGTGTTTTGCTATGGGTGTTGGGTCCCCTGGAATTGAGGTCACACACAACTATGAGCTGCCAAGTGGGTGCTAGGAATTGAACCCAGCTCCTCTGGAATAGCAGTCAATACTCTTAACCACTGAGCCATCTCTCCAGCCCCATAATGTAAATATCTTAATTACTGATGTTCAAAGAATATGGTAACAGGAAACTATATGCTATAGTACTTTAAAATATGAAAGTGCACTAAAGTTTCATTACAGAACATATATGGTCTGAAGCATCATCAAAGAGTCTGAAGGCCTCCTAAAATTTACAAAAGCAAGAAGGAAACACGAAGAACAGAACTGTCTTTTAAGGACTCAGATTACAGCATAACAACACATACACACACACACTGAACATTACAGAATCTTTTCACAATAAAGTTACCTCAAGTTAGAATGGATGAGAGGCAATGTCATATTTACTAACTTCCTACTACTCCAAAAGTGCTTCACACGCTTCATGCACTACAAATTTTTAGATCCACGGAGTGGCTCTCAGTCTCACTTAGAACCCTGTTGTGGAATATTACTTTAACTATGTAAAGGTGTGTTATATTTGTTTATGCTGCATTTGTTTAGTTATGTAAAGATGTGTTGCTAGAACACTTTGCCTGCCTACTTGATTATCAAATAAAAAGATGAACGGCCAATAGCTAGGCAGTAGAGTGATTAGCAGAGATGGCAGGCAAAGATAATAAATAGAAGGAGAGAAGAGAACAAAGGAGAAAGACAGGGAGATGTCTGGGGCCAGCCAACTAGACAGGGAGTACAACATACAGAATAAAAGAAAGGTAAAAAGCCCTGAGCAAAATGTAGGTGAAGAGAAACAGGTTAATTTAAGTTATAAGAGCTAGTGGGATAAGCATAAGCTAAGGCTGACATTCATAACTAATAAGTCTCCATGTCATGATTTGGGGGCTGGTAGTCTGAGAGAGACTGCTACAGAACCCTGACTGAAACTTTTGAAAAGACCTGAACTAGAACTGTGCTGAAGGGTCAGTTCCTAATTCCTAGGAAACAAGAGTAATCATAAACATGAATTGTTTTAATTACAACTCAAGGAGATTCAATGGCTTGCCTAAGATCACATAGTTTACTTTTCTTCCTGTGGTTTGTCTTGTTGAGACAGCATCTCACTATGTAGCTCTGACTGTTCTGGAACTCACTGTGTAGACAATGCTGAATTGAATTCATAGATACTACCTACCCATCTCCCTGGTGCTGGGATTAAAAGTATGTGCCACCACACTTGACTTGGCTCAATCAATGTATAACACACAGATCTGTAATGTGAACCCAAGAGTATATAACTCTGGGCTGTTATACTTTCCTTTATATCACTACCATCATTCAGGAAATTTATGGTAGAGGTTCTTATCCACCCCTGGCCCACTTTCCTTGACAAACCAAGTAACTATGTATTTGTGTTCACTCTGTGCCTAAAAACTTTGGTAGTTTCTCTTTATCCAATCACTTATCCCTACACAAAATAGGTATTAGATTCTTGCTATGTCCTTGGCATTAAGCTAGACACTGAGCTTGTACTGGTGTAAGAAAAAGGGGTCTGTAGGTGCTCTAGACAGTGGAAAGCCATCAATTAATTAAATAATTACTCAGGTGAGTAAGAAATTACAAGTGTGTTAAAAGTTAACATGGATTAAGAGTTAGTAGCTAGTAATGACCAGTCTGGCAACATATGCTCATTTGTAAAAACAGTGGTATGAATATTTTGGGGGTAACCAATCACCTTTTCACTGGATTTAAGGCCTGTTCCACAGGGAAGAACTCATGTCCGGATTATGAACCTGGCTACGAACCTGCAGCAGAGGAGATAGAGGAACTGCTACTACTATGTTGCTAAATGAATAAAATGAATAAAACTGTCTTCTAAATATTAAACTTTATAAGCATAGGTAAGTGCAGCATTCAGCCCTCATCAGAGAAGCCTCTTCTTGCAGTGGACAGTGGTTAATACAGGTACTCACGACTGGTCAAAGTACAGAAAACAAATATCTGTGGAATGCTCGGTCCCAAATGGAACACATAAAACATACTCAGGGACCATCACGAAGGGGAGGGGAGAAAACATGCATGAGAGGATAGGGGAGACTGCTGTGAAATGTGGTCTTCTAGGTATGATGGTCACTGAACTCATAAGCTCACTGTGCCTGTGGTTACCCGTACATGATCAAGACAGTCAGGGTTGCAATACACATGGAGGAGGGGCTCATGAGGCTCCACCAATACCTGATGCACAACTGGCAGCTGTTGGTTGTTGGGGGAAGTCAGATTTTTCCCTCTAGGGGTGTGACCTCTGGAAATATATATATATGTTGCATATATACATATGAAACTTTCAAATACTAGAAAGTTGCATTAAGGTTTAAAAAAAAAGTAACTCTAGGTCTGAAATTTAATAGCATCTAAAAGATGTCTCTGACTAATTGTATTGGGTCAACAAAGGTTCTTATGAGAAACATGTGATCTAGAGGATAAGTAAATTTTACTTAGCTGGGAGGACTGTTCAAGAATAAAGCACATGTAGGGGCCCAAGGTGGAAGGATGTCCAAACTGGCAGGAGGGCGATGGGTGTGGATGTAACAGAGAATAGGCAGAGTGCAGCATGGTCATACTTGGTCTAGTAGGAGTAACAAGAGACCACTGACTAGTTTTAAGAAAGCGCTAATGTGATCATATTTACATTTTAATTTTTTTGAGACTGGGTTTCATTTAGCCCAGGTTGGCCCCAAACTATGTAGATGAAGATGATCTTGAATTTCTGATCTTCCTAAGAGGTGGAATTACAGAATTGGGTTATGACACCCACTTCAGAGTGCCACTCTTTAAAATGAGAACAGAGACTGTGGAGGAAAGAGTAGACACAGAAAGAGCAGGTAGGAGGCCAAAGGAAAGACTCAGAAGACATCTTAATCTAAAAGGTGAATGCAGAAATGGAAATAAGGAAATAGATCTAAGATGCATTCAGCAGTGTAAAACGTCAGAATTTAATAATGGCTGTATGCCACAGTGAGAGAAAGATTTCAGAGATACTCAGTTGTGACCAGACATGGTGGCACACTCCTTTAACCCCAGCACTTTTCCACATGTGGTAAGATATCTGGTAGCAAAATTTAGGTTTTTGACCTATTTTGAGATAAACATGTCTCACAGACTTATAACTAATGATATTGCATATATAGTGAATCAGTAAGTATATAAATCAAAACTATATTCTTATATTGTAGCTCATCTTGTAAGGAGAAAGAGAATAAAGAGAAAGTAAATTAGAAGAGTAAAACCATTTGAAACAGAGTGAAAAAACATGGGAGGGTAAAAGTGGCTGAAGAGATCAGAGAACCGATCCAGGCAGAGAAGACAGATGAGGCCCGAGACAGGCAGGCAATGTGCTAAGACCTCCTCATCCCTCCACTGCCTCTCCTCACTGTTTCTAAATATAGCCCAGACAAAAGAACTCTAAGCTGACGGTTCTTCTGCCTTATCATGCCTGTGGCATCATCTGTGGTCCAGCAAGCTTTCTCTCCCAGGAGTCTTCTAATCAATACTGAATTTGAAATTGACCTGGTATTGTTATTCAGTGTTCTAGGACACTTCCTGAACTCAGTTATTCAAACAAAAGCAAAATAAACCCCACTTACATTTGGTTCTGCTGAACTAAGAACCCCCTGTGAGAAAAGTATGTTTATAGAACACAGCTCTGTGGGAAGACTGATGGACATAATTTCAGAAAATATTCTTAAAGTTAATGAAATGAAACAAGATGTGTGTGTGTTTGGGGGGGAGAGGCGAGGGGGGGGAGGGAAGGAGCAGGTTTAGATGGTGAGCCACGCTTATTTAATACTCTTCTTACTGTGTGTCGAGGAGCATCTTCATTATCCCTCATGTAGAAAGGCTTGAGTGCTAATGGGTAGTTAATGACAAAGACTGGGATGTTGCCACAGTGTTTCACCAGGTACTTCTCATGTTCAGTCTGTAGATCAACACCCCACTGTAATGAGAAACAAGAAGACAGGATAAAACACACATAAAAACAACCTGTACCAGTTTCAAGGGCTTTTCTCTCCTTGGGGCTCAATAATGATGTGTGCAGCTGTCTGCCAAAGTTACACAGCTGACTAAACTAAAGGGAAAGAGTTGCTAACAAGAATGGCCAAAGGCCTGGAAAGATGAAAGCTGAAACCAGTAGATAAACACTATTGTTTCCGTGCCCCATCTCAGAGAATAGCATTCAGCAAGTGCAGCACAGGCAGGAAAACAAAATACTTTCCAAAGGGATAAAGCAGATGCAGAATTATAGTTTTTATTAATATCACCTAGAGTTTCTCCCCTAGTCACTGTTCCTAAATCTCAGGAAATTAAATGATGGGTGATAGTACTTCTAATACTGAGCCTATCTTTAGTGAGATGAATTTCTCAGAGAATTTCTATTTTAATAAAAGAGTCAATTCATATGAGATGTTCTTTGATGAATACGTAATAATGCTACTCAGTCTATTTATTTAGTAAATACTATTGTGACTGTCAAATTCCAGGTGGCATATTAAGTGTTGGATGTGGTAGTAAAACAAAACAAAACAAAAGGATATTATTCCTGGTTTCATATATTTATGGTTGTGAGCCTAACCTTTAACGGCTGAGCTATCCTTCCAACCCTATTCCTGACTCCATAAAGCTTGGTAGAAAATATCAAAAAAGAAATTACACAAGTAATTATTATAAAGCCAACAAGTGCTGGCTGATGGTGCACACCCATAATGCCAGCATCTATAATCCCAGTAGTTGGGACAGAGGCAAGATCAGCAGTTCAAGGTCATCCTCACGACACAGGAAACTGGCTGCAAGCTAGACTGCATGAGATCCTTCCTCAAGGACTAAAACAACAACAACAAGCTACTGTTAAAATTTGTAAGCACATCTAACAACTGGGGATGGGTCTGGTGTGAAGGACTGTTGAAACACAAAGGTAGCATATCATTCTGCTTTACTATTGCCGTGTTTGGCAGTACCCTCCGGACCACAAACACTTTAAACAAGATGGTTAATTAGGAAAAACCATTTTAGATTTATTTCCTAAAGAGTAATTTCCCCTATTTAAATATAGATTGGCTTACATGTAACAGTTGTTACCAACTTGTCCTTGATTTTGTAATAAGTGAAACACATTACAATTTTCCAATCAAGGATATTTATTTGTATTATTGGGCTTTTAATATGATTTTATTCTCAGTCTTGACTTCTTAGATTTTTGTTTTGTTTTGTTTTTGTTTAGTTTTTCAAGGCAGGCTTTCTTTGTATTGCTTTGGAGCCTGTCCTGGAACTTGCTCTGTAGACCAGACTGGTCTCAAACTCACAGAGATTCACCAGCCTCTGCCTCCCAACCATTAAAGGCGTTTGCCACCACCACCTGGTGACTTCTTAGATGTTTGATTAGCCACAGAAAGCACAAGGGTCTCCTCAGCCACAGATTAACAAGAGGCACAGGTCTGCACCAAATGAGCAAATAAATGACTTAACTGGAAGATAACACTGAATGAACATATGGCTAATGGAGAAAGGAGATACAACCAGTATTTTTCCCTACCCTGTCTCCATTCATTGTCAATCAAAACATCTATTGTCAATTTAATTAAAAAAGCAACTTACATTATGTTTAATAAAAGAATATGGATGGAGAAAAAAAATCAAAGTATAAGAAAACATCACTCAGTTGGGGGTGCACACCTTTATTCCAACACTTGGGAGGCAAAGGAAGGCAAATCTTTTAAGTTCAAGGCCAGTCTAAGAGGTTAACCACACACCAGAAAACACACAGAAGAAATAATCCCAGGCCAGCAAATCAAAACAGTCTCTCTCTCTCTCTCTCTCTCTCTCTCTCTCTCTCTCTCTCTCTCTCTCCCCAAACAAACATACAAATAAATAAAACCACCCCAAACAAATAAAAACAAAACGGGAAACAACAAATACCACTCAACATAAATGGTCTCAATTTCCCAATAAAAAGACACAGATTAAGAGAATGGATGTAAAAACAGGATCCATCTTCTGCTGCATCCTAACATCAAGGATAGATATCACCTCATGGTAAAAGGATGTGAAAAGATATTCCAAGAAAATTGACCTAAAAGAGCAAACTGGTGTAACCATTTTAACATCTGACAAAATACACTTCAAACTGTAAGTAATCAGAAGAGAGAAGGAAGGACACTACAAAGTCATCAAAGGAAAAATTCACCAAGAGAACATTGCAATTCTTAACATCTATGCACCAAAGACAAGGGTACCCAAGTTTGTAAAAGAAACACGATTCCAGCTTAAAATACATATTGACCTTCACATACTGATACTGGGAAATTTCAGTACTCCACTCATGCCAAAAGACAAGTCATCTAGACAAAAACTAAACAGAGAAATGCCAGAGCCAACAGATATACAAATAGATTAAATAGATATCTATAGAACACTTCACCCAAACAGAAAAGAATATATCTTCTTTTCTGCACCTCATGGAATTTTGTTCAAAATTGACCACATACTCAAGATACAAAGCAAGTATCAACAGATCTAAGAAAATTGAAATAACACCCTGAATCTTATCTAATCACCATGGATTAAAGATGGATATCAACAACAACAGAAACAACAGAAAGCTTATAAACTCATGGAAACAGAACAAGAGAGAAATTAAAAACTTTCTAGCACTGAATGAAAATGAATACAAGAGACACAATGAAAGCTGCTCTAAGAGGCAAGTTCACAGCACTAATAGCCTACATAAAAAATTGAAGAGAGTAAAAGCACTGATCTATGAGTACAGCAGAATGTCATTAGAAGTCATTTTATTTTTTAAAGACCAGTAAGTAATATTTGGTTTTACCCTAGGTCTCTGGACTGTCTAGGCTCAGGGTTTTAGTAACTCAAGCAGTGTGGGGCATGGGTTCCATCTCATGGAGTCAAATCTCATAGTAGTAACTTAATCTCAGAGATCTCATAGTGGTAACTTATTGGCACATCTAAAAGTTCTAGAACAAAAAGAAAAATAAGACACAAAAAAATGTAGACATCAAAAAATAATCAACCAGACAGTGGCAGTGCACACCTTTAATCCCAGCACTTGGGAGGCAGAGGCAGGCAGATCTCTGAGAGTTCAAGGCCAGCTTGGTCTACAGAGTGAGTTCTAAGATGGCCATGGTTACACAGAGAAATCCTGTCTCAAAAAAAAAAAAAAAAAAAAAAAAAAAAAAAAAAAAAAGAAAGAAACAAACAAACAAATAAACCGCAGGGCTAAAAATCAATGAAATAGAAACAAATAAAAATAATAAATATAAAGAATTAATGAAATAGAGAGTTGGCTCTTTGAGAAAAATCAGTAAGACTGATATACCCTTATCCAAATTAACTAAAAGGTAGAGAGAAAATATCTAAACTAATAAAATTAGAAATGAAAAGGGGGACATAACAATAGACATAACAATTGAGAAAATTCAGAGCATCATAGGGATATACTTAAAAAAAAAAAACCTATATTTCACTAACTGGAAAATCTAAAAGAAACAGGCAATTTTCTTGATATATATCATTTACCAAAGTTAAATAAAGACCAGAAAAGCAATTTAAAAATACTTATAACCCCTAGCGAAATAGAATCAGTCATTAAAATTCTCCCAAACAAAAAAAGCCTACGGCCAGATGGTTTCAGTGTACAATCCTACCAGACTTTCAAAGAAGAGTTAATGCTAATAGTCCTCAAGTTATCCCCCCCCACAAAAAAAAAAAAAAAAAAAAAAAAAAAAAAAAAAAAAACAGAAACAGAATTTTGTGAGTTCTAGGCCAGCTTGGTCTACCAGGGCAACATAGTGAGAAATGACTCAAAATTATTTCAACCAAGTCTAACAAAAACTTAAAAAGCCTATGCATAGATCCACAAATACTTACATTACTAATAAAAGAAATAAAGTTATTTAATAAAGCTAAAGATCTCTCTCTCTCTCACACACACAAACACACACCCCACATACTACCTTGGGTGTAAAGGTGAAGTTCTGGGATGCTTGCTTTAAGATCTCAACTGCCTCTGTATAAGAAATGCTGGGAGGAAACAAAGCAAAAATGAAGAAAGGTTAATACAGTAGAACTACTGTACACCAGGCCATTTTAAACTACAAAAATAAATCCAATATAATCTGTGAGATCATAAATGAGTACTAAGTAATCAAGAATTCAGGCTGATCTAATCCTATGAAAATGTGGTCTGCACGAAGAGAAGTGGCTGTTCAACAACTCCACTCTTCCTGGGCACGCAATAGCACAAAAGTCATGCCAGAAAGCAGTTTCTCAGTATCCATGCTATGCCAACACTCTACTAATAGGTATGAAATATTGAGGCTCAAAGAACAAAAGACTTTTACACAAGTTGTCACTTACTCATTATTTATTCACTGAGCAAACATATATGTCACAGCTCCTAGTAGATAAGTACTCTTCTAGGTACTAGAGACAGTATAAAAATAAAATAAAATAAAATAAAGCCCCTGCCTTCTTGCAGCCAAGATGTGTGTGTGGGTGAGGGCACAATTAATCAAATAGTAACAGTGCCAGGTAGCCATTATGAAAAAAAAATACAATAGGGAGGTGTCTGGGGTAGTATTTTAGATAACATATTCAGGAAAGGCCCACTGAGTTGATGACGTCTGAGTATAAACCTGTATCAGAAAATGAAAAAAAATGAATCATAGAAATAACTGAGGAATATACTAGACAAAATGAATACTAAGTACAAGGCCTTCTGTGAGGAACAGTTTGTCCACTGAAGGGACAAAAAGGTCAGTGTGACTGGAGCAAACTGAACAAGGGGACAAATCCTAGGAAAGCAGTAGGAATGGCAGTAAGATCATGAGCATGCTTCAGACCTTGGCAGAAGTCTTGGTAATGTATTCTAAGCCTTCCTAGACTGTTGAGGAAAACTGCCTTTGGTTTTCTCAGTAAGGAACTCTCAGGCCTAGGAGAAAAACCACTGTGAGTGTGTACACAGCAGGAGGCTGAGATGGGAGGATTGCTGAGCTCAGGAGTTCAAGGCTAGTCTGAGCTACAAAGGGAGAGGAAGATGGTAAGAGAGGAGGAAGGGAAGGAAGGAAAGAAGGAAGAAAGGAAGAGAGGGAATGAGGGAAGGAAAAATAAAAAGCACATACATCTCCCACCTTGTTCCACAGTTACTGAGTTCCTTTCCTCTTACATTTTTAAAATTTTATTTTATGTATTACTTATGAGTATCTGTTTGTATGTATATCATTTGTGTGACTGGTACCCATTGAGGCTACAAGGTGTTGGATCCTCTGGAACTGGAGTTACAGAGGGTTGTGAGCCATCATGTGGGTGTTGAGAATTGAATGAGTCCTTTGCAAGAACAGCAACTGCTTTTAACTATTGAGAATATCTTCCCAGCACCTCCTTTCAAATATTATATTCATTGTTATCACTTTCTTGTGTACCCTTTTAGAAGATTATAAACATGTGAATATTTATAACATCTACTTTAGTAAATATCAGAGCATATATCACATACATTTTTATTTTACTTAACATTGTTTAGTTACTTAACATTATAGATCTTTGCATGGTGATGAAGAACTTGCTTCATTACTCAAGGTTTCCTGTGGCCCTGGCTAGCTTCAAATACACTATGTAGCTGAGGGTGACCCTGAATTCCTAATCTTCCTGCCTCTACTTCCTGAGCACTGGGATTATAAGCATGTGCTACCACATACAGTTGTATGTGCTGCTGAGGGCTGAACATGACAGACAATCTTCATGCAGAAGAGAGAAACTCTACTAACTGAGCTACAGCCACAGTCCAAGAACTTCACTTTTTGAATTAAAATGTAACATTCAAATTATATATGAATGTATATTTACTTTAGTTACCCTTTAATGGTTTCTAATCTTTTGCTACTGTAAGTCATGACTACACATACCTTTCTAATGCAACTGAAAATAATTCTTACACACTGATTTTGCACATAAGAAAATAGGATTATTGGATCAAAACTTGTGATTTTTTTGTGTATTCTGAAGTATACTGCCAAATTTACTGGCCTCCCTTTCAAAAGGTAATAAAAATGTACACATACCAGTAACATATGACTATACAAGTAGCATATGAACACACTAGTTACATATGAACACACCAATTTACCCAGTACAAATTCGTCCACTGCATTTTGTACCTACACTAACTAGAAAATAACTTTACAATGCAAATACAGGTAGACATGTTTTAAGTGACATTTTATTCAAACTCCTCTGTGTAATTTCTAAGGGAATAGTGGTAGGATTTGTCTGTAGGAGCACTAATTATGTGAAAGTTGAGGATTCTGCAGAAGGGAATCTGAATCAGCTCAGGGGAAACATGAGCAACTTGCCAGAGAGCTTTCCTATTATGCAAGAAGCTGATCTGCTGACCCAGCCATGCTTCCAATGGCTAAGACAATATTTAATACTTGCATTTTCAAGTATTCTATTAGAACAAAAGATAAGAGGTGCTGAGTTCTTCTGACACTACTCTTTAGTAATGCCAATTGCTCCAATTTAATGAGAACACATAGTTAATTTTTGAAATGCTATAAAAAATTAAAAAATTAAGTATTTGTATATAAAGTATTTTGTTTGAAGCTCTTTCCTTGGGTGTTCTATTGTTCTATTTCATCAATTCGAATGAGCTACCAGTTACACTGAGAAATATTAAGCAATGGTAGTTTTTATACAACTGTTATGTTACTGTTTCGTTATGAAGAAATGGTTGTAATATTTCTTCTGGGGATAACAATCTCCTCCATTCCTCCCTCCACCCCACTCCCTCTTAATTTAAAGCACTGCTTTCAAGTTCAGATTACAGTTCTGACACTGGATAACCTTAATGGGCTTTTCAAAGTCTCTCTACTAAGTATGTTTCTTGATACGCATAAAGAATATATCTTTGCCTTTCTAGAAACTGTTTCCCAAGTGCTTTGAGGGAAAAAAGGAAAGTCTTTGTAATTGACTTGAACTGCTGGGGATCTAATTATACTATTTGATATACTTACTATGGTACTGTGTATCAGATATTATAAGTACTCTATAAGGAAGGTGCTTCTGGGTTAAATGCAAATAGTTTTGGCATTTTATACAGGGCCTTAACCAAACAGATTTTAGTGTATTTGGAATTCTGGGAACCAATCTCCAGGGATACCAAGGCATTACTGTATAAGGTATAAATTTTAGTAATATAAGTCATAATTACTATACTCATTTATCTTGCTAAGAATCATTTATTACTAATGATACATAAGTTGTCAACTATGAATTAAGTATAAGAGCAATAAGAAATAATTAGAATATGAGCCTTTATTTAAATCTGGTTTGGTAAACACAGATACATAAACAAAAATTATAACTCAATATGATACAATGGTCAAGATGAGCAAAGTCCAGAAAAATTATAATTTCTACTTACATTAGGAAGTTGTTTTTTAGCATATGTTCTAGTCTGTCCTTGATAAGACAAAAGAGAACAAATTTAAATATAATTATACTCATTATTATATAATTAATACTTAAAGAGCCATGAATTTAGCCTTATCCACAAATGTATTACCTTCTGGCCAGGAGCTATGAATTTGTGACACAGTTCAACATCCTCAGGACAATTTGAGAGAACCATTTCAGTGGTAGCCTTGAAGAGTTCCTCCATAACCTAAGAGAAATAAGACATAATTGCCTGAGCAGCAGATTTACACAAAAGCCTTTGGGGCTTGAAAGACCATTCTCTAGCTTCCAGCAACTAAAAATCCATTAAGCTTGTTAATTCCTGAATGTACTATAGCAATTCAGATCAATACTGGTATTGAAATGAGTTGTCAAATGAACAGCTATAATTGACTGAAATCTCTTTACTCATTAATGAACTCACTTGTAGAATTCAGACAATCATAGCACCTCATTCACTGGATTGTTGTAAGAATTATATGAAATAATCTTGTTTATTAGCGTAGTTCCTACTTCAGAGACATATATATGTTTTTTTGACTTTGTAAGAGAGAACTCCCCCTCTTTTTAGACCCCTTTTTAGATTTAAATTAGAAACAAGCTTGTTTTACATGTCAATCCCAGTTTCCTTTCCAGCCCCTCCTCCCCTGTACTCCACCAACCCATACCCTTTTTGCTCTCCAGGGAGGGTGAGACCTTCCATGGGGGATTTTAAAGTCTGTCATACCATTTGGAGTAGGGCCTAGGCCCTCCCTCTGTGTGTCTAGGCTGAGAGTATCCCTTTATATGGAATGAGCTCCCAAAGACCATTCTTGCAATAGGGATAAATACTGATCCAATCAGAGGCCCCATAGACTGCCCAGTCCTCCTAACTGACACCCACATTCAGAGGGTCTGAGTTAGTCCTATGCTCGTTTCCCAGCTATCAGTCTGGGGTCCATGAGCTCCCCCTTGTTCTGGTCAGCTGTTTCTGTGGGTTTCTCCAGCCTGGTCTTGACCCTTTTGCTCATCACTCTTCTCAAGAGAGAACTTTCTGCATCATTGGGTCAATCAATAGTAAATGAAAGGAAACTTGAAAATTTGAGAAGCAACGACATGAATCTAAATGATAATAGTATGTACTTTTGTATGTTAAAATATAAAAATATAAATTAGTATGTAAGAATTAATTCTACCACGAATATCCCTGGAAGACTAATGGGAGACATGTTTTCCTTAGGAGGAAGAAGTTACTAGGATGAAAAATATTTCTGAAATTATTTTTTGTTTATTTACTAAATTTATTTCTTTTGATACTAGATCTCACTGTGTAGCCCTGGCTAGTCTGGAACTCACTATGTAGATCAGGTTGGCTTCAAACTCACAGAAAGTGCTGGGATTATTAGTATACCACCACATACAGGTAAGAGTTTGAGTTTCTAAGTCACCAATAGTGTAAACAGCAATGATGACTAATTTGGGGGGTAGAAAAGCAAGTCAGAATCCAAAAATGAAATAAGTGTAAAGAAAAAGTTGGAGGGACTAGATAAAACCAAGCCAAAACTTTGAGGGCTTTGCATTCTAAGGAGAGGAGAGAGAGAGATATTTAACTATTGTAAAGATGTACACTATAAATATAAATAGCTCTGGGTATAGGACTTAGTGTGTGTGGGGTGCTGCCAAGTTCCCAGCACTGCATCAACTAGGAGGTGTGGCAGTATGGTAGCAGCATACCTATAACCCTAGCATTTGGGAGGTGGAGACAGGATAAAGAGTTCAAAATCACTCTAGGATATATGAGATCCTGTTTCAAAAGCACCCAAAGTACCATATAAAGGATATTTAAATTCTAAAAGGAAAAGGTCAGAACCAATCTAATGGAGAGGTGAGTAAAGTTAGGGGCCTTGAAAAAGGAGGAACAATTAGTGGGTAAATGTCCTTCGCTTCAGCTGCTGTGTCCTTGCAACACAGCAGTGAGATAAAGACATAGCCAAGTAACAGAATGATTTACAAGGGCCAAAGCCCACACATAGCAGGAGGGCAAAGAGCAGCTGGACTGGGTGGTCCTTCTGCATTGTGAAGGAACACAAGACTGACCACCTGGGTTGTTCAATTGCTGTCTTTCGAGCAGTAAATTTAATTTGAAGATGGAAACCTCTGCTTCCTTCCTAAAGTCTGACTTTCAGACTAAGTTCTATAAATACATTGGATAAAAACAGAAACTGTGGTGAAGGGTGAGTATAAGATGTTTTAAAAATTTACTAAAGTAGTCTTTAGGAATTAGTTACTTATTAACTCATGAAGGAAAAATTCTTTTTTCTAACCTTCCAAGTTAAAACTTAAATGTACTGAATAGAACAGAAGAAATGGTGTATGCCACCATATCATGTGAACCATGGACACACACACACACACACATATATATATGTATATATGAATATGTATATGTATGTATATATATTGAGATTTTATTATTATAGTAATTCTTGTTTTGTCTTTTTGAAGAAGCCTCACTTTGCAGCTCAGGCTAGATATCTTACAGACATCTTTTCCTCTAAAGGAAGAAAATGAGGAGGAGGAGATTACTTTTTCTGTCTCAAGGAAAAGGATTTGTAGTCTAATTGGCTAAGTCATTCAACAATATATGTTGAATACCACTGTTAGAGTAACTCAAGTAGCAAATCTGTCACCAAAACCTTAATATTCTCTTTTAATATTTGAGCAGCCTCCTCCTCCTCCTCGTCCTCCTCCTCTTCTTCTTCTTAACTGTGTGGGTGTCAGTAGGTGTGCACTACAGCATAAGTACAGCTCAGGGGACATCTTCCAGAAATTGGTTCTCTCTTTCCATCATGGGTTCCCAGGACTGCACTCAGGTCATTAGGATTACATGGCCAAGTGCTTGTAACCACTCCAGGCCATCTTACTGGTTTTTAAACTTCATTCTCATCCAGTTTGTGTTCAGTTGTTGCTAGCTTCATGAGTCGGCACTGAGATTCACAATTAGTCAGAGGTCTTCTTGTGCAATTATGTAGCAAACTGCCCAACCCAGCTGTTCCTTCTTTTTAGAGATAGGATCTTTCTATGTAAGCCTGGCTGTCCCAGATCTTAGGATAACCTTGAACTCACCAAGCTCTTCTTGCCTCTGCCTCCCAAAAGCTGGGATTAAAGGTGCACACCACCATATCTCGTGAACCATGGATCCTTTTTTTTTTTTTTTTTTTTTTTTTTTTGAAATTTTTATGGTAATTCTTGTTTTGTCTTTCTGAACCTCACTTTGTAGTTCAGGCTAGCTTGGATCTTAAAATCTTCCTGCCTCTGCCTTCTAAGTCAAGGATTGGAGATGTGTGCCAGTTCTAAACTGGCAAATTAATGATCACCAAAGATAAAACCTTTTTCTCTGTGTATAAGAGAGAGAGAAAAGATAAGCCACCAAAATGGGAGAAATGTTTGCAAATTACGTATTTGAAAAGGAATTTACATTGAAAATGAAGAAATTTCAAAGCTCAACAACAAAGGGCCAGTGTGGTGGTGTATACTTTCCAGTACTCACCAGGTAGAAAGGGGCAGAGCTCCGAGCTCAAGGCCAATCAGGGCTACATAGTGATGCCCTGTCTCAAAAACAAAACAAAACAAAAAACAAAAAACCCAAATAATCAAACTCAACAACAAGAAAACAAACAACTTGACCAAAGACTAGAAATGGATGGCTAATAGGCAGATAAAATGATGCTTAACATAGAGAGCCTCAAGAGATATCAGGGAAATACAAAATAAAACTGTAAGATGCTGATGCATAGCTAAGAGATTCACACATTCATCCATTCTCTGTGTGAACACATGTACATTTATGTGTGTAGGTCTGTCTGACTGTCTGTCTCTTTCATAGGTGTATTCAAACACACCCCAGACTAAGGACTGGTGGTGAGCAGACAAACTGGCCTTTGCATATTCCTTGTAGGAATGCAAAACAGTCACTTTTAAACCAGACAGGTTCTTGGAAAAAAAGACTCTCTCCTAGAACCTCACCCAAGAGAGATGACAACTATGTTCACACAGAACCTGCACATGAGAGTTTATAGCAAGTTTTTTTCATTGCTTTCAAAGACTGAACTATATCAAATGTTCCCCAATGTGAATGGTAAACAAGTGAGGTACATCAGCCTCAGGGCACTACACAGAAAACAGGAGAATTTGAGACATACATAGTACATGAAGTGGCAGTAGACAGAGTCAGGAATATGCATACTTTGCTGAAGTTCACATGACATTCTGCAAAGGGCAAATTACTTAAGATAGGGCAGACTGGCAGTTGACAGTGGGAGGGGTTAGAATGGAAGGCAGCAGCAAGCTGGAGTCATTTTGTAATACCAAAATTGTTATGTATTTTGACTGTAGTCATAGTAACAGAGGTGAACACTTGCCTTAGAACTTAAATTTTAAATGAATGTGATGCTAATAAATCCAACTGTCATTGAAGTCACTTCGTGCTTCTCAGTGTAAGCAGGGTTGCCTCTGCTCCCAGACCCATTTTATCCAAAGCCATTGAACACATATCTGCTCACCTCTCTGATGTCATCTGACCTTCTTTATTGCTCTCAGACTTATTTTGAAATATATATGAAAAACATTACTACATTTTGTATTTTAGATGTATGGGTGTTTTGTTTATATGTATGACTATAGACCACATGCATGCCTGATGCTTATGGGCATCATATCCCTTGGAACTGGAGTTAAAGATGGTGTGAGCTGACATGTGGACACTAGGAATAAAACCCAGGTTCTTTGGAGGAGTAGTCATTGTTCTTAACCATAGAACAATCTCCAGCCCCATTATTACATTTTTCATTGATTTTGTGATGCTGTGGTACTTGAGTGAAAGTCAGTGGGAATCAGTTCTTGCCTTTCACCATGTGGGTCCCAGGGATCAAACAAGTTACTAGGCTTGGCAGCAAGTACCTTTATCTAATGTATGAAAATCTGGAACCCAATTCTGTTTACATTTCCTAAAGTGGTATTTAAATGTCCATTTCTCAATTTTCTTATGAAAAAATTTGAGGAAATAAAGGCATTTTGAAATCCAGTCATGTGTAAAGCACATTATCTTCATAACCTTTCCCTTTGGTATGTATGCTGAGGCAGTATAAATGTGGTGGAAACAGATATGGGGTGGGTCTGAGAATAGTTCCTTTCCTTACAATGCTTTCAGATCTAATGGAAGAAAAAACAATGGGTGGTGAGCTCAAATAAAGCTGCTTAAGGAACGCATACTATCTTTTAAGGCTCAGCCCTTAGCTCCGTACAATCAGCATCAGGGTTATTCCACAGGCACTATTAACATTTGAACTAGGTAATTCTTCTGGGGAAGAGAATTAATTCTATGAGTAATAGGATGTTGAAGAGCATCTTGGTCTTTAGCCATTACATACCAGCAGTAATTACTCTACCCATCATCACTTGTAGGAATAAGCAGAAATGTCCCATGGGTGGTACTGATCTAAAAAAGTCAGGGGAAGCCATTACAATGTATGGCCGAATATGCTACCCAGCAATGTTAATTGCTGATGGACTCTTCGGAACTGTCAGCCTAAAGACACTGTCTGACTCAAGGTTATGTTTCTTTGAGGCTAGCTAACCATGTCAAATAACTGGTTGATTGGAGAAAGCACAAAAGCCCATCCCCCTGTTCTCCTAAGGGAAAGTATTTCTAGCTCCTAACTTCCTCACAGAAAAGGTAAAGGTCTCTCTAAATGCAGCATAGATCAACTTTCCCCTCTACTCAACGCTTCTCCAATCCTTTCCTTACAGATATTGTTCCCAAAAGCTTCCCTTAAAACCTCTAACAGCAAGCAGGGCCTAGAGAGACATCAGTTGAGAGCATCTGCCATTCTTACCTGGGTTTGGTTCTTGGTATCCACATGGTAGGAGGCTCACAACTGTTTGCAACTCTAGGTTCAGGAGCTCTGATACCCTATTCTGGCTTCTGCAAGGCACCAGGCACATGTGTGGTGCATTCACATACATAGAGGTAAAACATTCATACATAGAAAATAAAACGAATCTTAAAAACAAAACAAAACCAGGGGTAGAGAAATGGCTCAGCTGTGATTAACTGAAGACCCAAGTTCAGTTTCAAGCACCCATATAGATAGTGTACAACTGCCTGTAACTTGAGCTCTGAGAATCCAACACAACTGACCTGTTTGAGTATTCATACTCATTCTCATCCTCTCTCTCTCTCTCTCTTTCTCTGTCTGTCTGTCTGTCTCTCTCAATCTCTCTCTCACACACACACATACCCCGCCCACCATCTGCATAATTCTCAACTATTCTGTGAAGTAGGAATTACGGTAAATTAATTAAACATCACTCTTTTCCCCACCCCATGAATCTCTATAATGCACTGTAATGTCAGAGATCCCTGAAAATGGCAACTATATACCTACCTGCATGAGATCCTGAAGGCTTTCCATAAAAGAAATCTCTGCTTCAACCATATAAAATTCTGCCAGGTGTCTCCGGCTCTGAGAATTCTCAGCTCGGAATGTTGGACCAAAGGTAAATACTTGGGTAAAAGCTCTGCAATTCAAGATTAAGAACATAAAAATAGAATACACATAATTAATTTTAAGTATTTAAAGTACCCTTAGCTCTTAAGAAAATATGTTTTGCATCTATGCTGTGCCCACAAACCCACATATATTAGCTGCTCTATTTCTCTAATGGAGGATAATAATAGTTTCATTAAAAATGTTACATTTATAGAAACCATTTTATCCCAAAGGAATCTGCAACTGCTTTATAAACTCTATGGTTTTCTAAATATAGAAATATAACCACTTCTGGGTACACTCTACTGCAGCTGCCTTAAACAGCAGGCAACTACATTTCACAGCAATCAAGAACAAAGTAAAGGAAAAATATCACAGCCCAATAAACAGAATTGTGTTAGTAACAATGAAAACTAGAATTTCATGTGGATAAGGTGTGCTCAACTTAATTTTTAAATACACAAAGGAAGGATGTTATAAACACGTTAACATCCTCTGGCAGACATAGGTTATTAAATGAAAATCTCAGTACCAGGCATGGAGTGCCTCTCTTTGAGATAGATGGTGATCTAGGAGGCCCCAGAGGCTCCCAAAACAACACAGGCTATTGCCTCTGCTCTTGGCTGTCCACCAAAATTAGTCTATAAGACCCTATTGTCAAAGACACAGAACACTTTAGTTGCAAGGACACAGAGAAATCAAGCTGGAACTGACTTGAAAACTTCCTCCTTGCTAACTAGTTTTCATTGTGCTAGATGGAGATATGCAAGCCACTGAGGGGAAGGACATCAATGGTCTTACCCAATACTGGACCCTGAATGTTACAATACTGATCTGCTAGGCAAGATCTGACCCACCACTGGTACAACAGTTGTATGAAGGTTATGGTGGTAACCAACTGCTTTCTGACTAGATCTCGGGCCTGCTCCACAGGATTGAATTTATGCCAAAAGTCCATGCTTTGGAAGGTCATTGGCCTAAAGGGGAACCAACTATTGTTTTGCTAAATGGACATGATGTTAAATTATCATAAGTATTTATGTTTATGCCCATTGATTAGTGTGCTATTTTCAACCTTTTCTGGAGAAGCCTTTTTCTGCTGTGGGCCGTAATACAGGTACCCATAACTAGTAAAAGTGTTCAGAATAAGTAATTGTTGAGTGCTCATTCCTAAATGGGACATCTTTATCAACCCCCTGCCACAAGGCTCAGGGAACATCAAAGAAAATGTGGCAGGAAGAATGTAAGAGCCAGGCGACAGAAAAGTGTGCTGTGAGATATTTTCTGGATATGATGTGATTACTACACTCATGAATTCGCTGGACTCACTGGGTTACAGACAGAAAGACAAGACACACAGACACATGAACACACACACACACACACACACACACACACACACTCACACACACACACACAGGGTGGGGGCAGAGACAGGAGAGAGATATGTTGGGAGGTGTTCCTCAGAAGGATGAGGCGAGAACTGGAGGTGGGTATAATCAAGATATACTGTATACACATATGAAAATGTAAGAGAATAAATAATCTAAAAATAATAACAATTCACCTATTTAGAGCCCGCTTAAATCCTTTACAACCACTTGTATCTTTTAATTGGCTTTTGAAGAACTTTTTACCCTCTCAATTTAAAAAAGAAACACAACTCAATTATTTAAATGGGGGCGTGCCCTGGTTTTTAAATTCCTCCTAGAGTAGATACTGTAGCTTCATTCTTTAATATGTATATATTCCCTCATATTCAACAAGACAACGATTGATACCCAATAAGTATATAAATTAAGACTATTTCTTAAGGATTTAATTTTAAATTTTGTTTTTTTAAGGATCCAGAACTTACTTTATTTGTCATGGTCAGTATACACACTATAGAAAATATATGAATTAAAAAAATATATGCCAGCTGGGCATTGGTGTTACATGACTTTAATCTCAGCACCCGGGAGGCAGAGGCAGGCCGATCTCTGTGAGTTTGAGGCCAGCCTGGTCTACAGAGCTACTTCTAGGACAGGCTCCAAAGCTACAGAGAAACCCTGTCTTGAAAAACCAAGAAAAAAACAATCTTCAATGACTGTCACCAAAAGAATAAAACTCAAACTTCTCTCTTCAGGCAGCTTTTATCAGATCTCTGAAGACATTTCCCTTACATCTCTGCATAGAATATCCTTTATTCCACCCTTGTTCTTCTCTCTCTAAACACAAATTCCCACCCAACCTTCAAAATATGTCATCTTTAAAATTTTATCACCCCTCCTCCAACTTATTATCCCTCCTGTATATTACTATAACATTTTATCCATATATGATTATGTAAAGTGGCTCATTTTGATATGTAATTAGGTTTTTAAATATCGCCCTCTCCCACAGAAAACTCAAAATTTCCAGAACAGGGATCATGTTTTATTCATGTTTGCATCTCTAGTGCCTAGTTAAAACAGGTGTTCACACTGAATGAGTGCTAATGATGATGACAGGCTTCCTCAGCATCAACTGGGAAGGCACAGCAACCTCATACAGCAACATGATAAAAAGCAAAACACTCAGATACTTTTTGTGGCTGCTACTTAGTACTTAAAATGGATGCTGAAATAGGTATTAAAATGGGTCAAAGATTCTGATCTACTCCAAGCATAAATCCAAATGGTACAAGCTGAGTTTCCAGTTTAGGGCTATATTCTTCAAGATGTGCTGCCAATAGTATCTACTTTGTAAAAATGGTAATTCTGGCCTATCTCACAAGGATACACTGTATAAACACAAATGTTTACATTCAAGTGCATCTTATTGCAATTTTCCAATAAACATGCAGGCAGCACAGCTAAAATTTACTTTAGAATTTCTGATATATAAAAAAGGTTTGTTACTCAAAAGATACATGCTATCTGTATTAGAGAATTAGGTACAAATAAGACTGGTTTTAACCAGAACTCCAAATTCAAATCACCAGGGCAACTGCCTCTTCCATGGCAAGTCCATATAAGGTGCAATGGGATAAATTGAGACAAGGACCTAATATATCCTAGGTTGGCCTCCAATTTCTTTTTTTCTTCCCTTTTATATTTAATTCCTTTTCATTTTACATACTAACCCCAGTTACCCTTCCTCCCTTTTTCCCTCCCCACATCTCACTCCATCCATTCCCCAGAGGGGATAGGGCCTCCCTTGGGGAGTCAACAAAGTTTGGTATACCGTACGTAGGGCCTCAAATTTCTTATGTAGTTGAAGATAATTTTTAATTTCTGATTTTCCTGCCTCTACCCTCTCTCTCAGTGCTGGAATAACAGTAACAGACATGCACCAGGTCCAGTTTATGCAGTGGTAATGAATCAAACTCAGAGTTTTGTGCAAGGTAGACACATTCTACCAACTGAACTGCATACCTGGCCTCAGAATTTTTAATTATACTAAAATTCATACTCTAACCGAGATGGTCAAGATTTTAAGTAACACCCTAAGCCAGAAATGGTGACAATAGTGCTTACTCTGGATTAATAGAAAGATAAAATAAGCTAGAAGGTATATGAAAACAACAACAACAAAAACTCCTAATCCAGCATCCAACTTTTAAGTAGTTTGAGCTAAGAAATAAAGGTCACCCTACATGGACACCCAGTGTTCTCCTATGAAATAGTGACATTAACAGCAGTAATGGTAGAGACCATCATTAGAGAGTGATCTTTGTGGGTTAGGAATTAAAAGTAAAGAACCTTATAGTTACCTCTTTGGAGTTGACTTACATGTATATGCACATATATATCTACATCTATATCTATATATATGCATTACTGCTTGTTTATATGTATATATGTACACGTATTACTGCTTCTTTTCCAGAACAAAGAACTTAAGTTCACAGAGGTTAAGAAGCTTTCCCATAAGTCTCAGAGTCATAATCGGATGAGTGGTGGAGACTAGACTCAAGTCCAGATACACTGTTATACCACCTTGACAATGATACCAGTACAGCCGTGCTACTAAATAAACATTTACAAGCTCAGAAATTTAGAAAGAAAAATTCATAGTACTTTCTCCCTTGTCAAAGATAACAAGGTTAAGTAGAGGTTGTACTGCCATTATGGATAGCTTGTATGTTAGAACCAGTTTGTTAACTGTTGTAAGTGATTCAGCCTTTCTGGTCTTCAAACTCTTATAGGCAGAGAGACTCGGTATGGATCTGTAGTGTACTTTGCAATAATTTTGTTTTCAGATCTACATGTAAGCATTAATTTTAATTTATTCCATCCCCCCCCTTTTTTTTTCTGCCTTCCACAATTGTGAAGCCTTTTGCAGCAAAGCTTGAAAACTTTTAGGTCTTTTGGTTAGATCGAGTGTAGCAAGGCTTAAACCAAGCAACATTTAAAATAAAACCAGAGAACAAGGCTATTTCTAAAATAAGACACAAAACCAGGTGAAAGGTCGGTACTGCTTCAAGAAGAGATCAGCAGAAAACACTTGGCCCTAAAAACCATTTTTGTGTCAAATTATGGAGGGATGAGAGCTATATAAGGAAAGTCATGAGTTTAGAGTAGATGTTTAAGATAACAAAAGTACATTCAATACACATCAATCAAGATAGCACAAAAATGGCTTTGGGAAAATAAGTGAAATTACAGAGACGGCTCTACAGAGGCCACTCTCTCTCATGAAGTTTTCTGAAGCCCTCAAGTTGCTAAGTAGATTAACACAGAATGTTCACTGAATGTGTGACTGAAGCTTATTCTTAAGCTTCACAGTTAAAGACTACAGATTTTCTGATCTTTAGCTGGAGAATTTAATCAGCATGACATCAGTCAGCATTCCTGCTAATCCCCCAGCCTCCACATCACCATCTACTGTACAGGCATTGCTAAGTGTTTCCTCTACCACTCAGACAGCACCTGTTCTCAGCCTGTCTGGTTAGTAGTTGGATGGGAGAAAGTGACTGTCAGCTTGCCTGTAAACCCCAACAACTATGAAGTTAAAGCAAGAAGAAAGTACAAAATCAAGGCCTGACTGAGCTACAGAGCAAGT